GGCCCGTGAGTACTCATCGGGGTTGAAGCGGTCGTGGCAGTATGCGGCACTGTCCCGCAGCAGCTTCTCCAGCTGGGGGTCCCCGGCGAGCAGCCCCTCGGGCAGCTGGAAGCGGGGCATGTCAGTCAGCAGGAGGAAGTGGAAGGGGACCAGCTCGTCCCGGCGGAGGATGCAGCACAGCACCACCGTCTTGGAGATGATGCTGACCAGCTTGTAGCAGTGGCCGTGCGGGTCGTGGGGGTTGCGCGCGGGGCGGCTGGGCACGGCCACGTTGACGGGGAGCCGCACCTTCTCGATGATGCTGCGGATGGTGTGCTCGCCCTCCTGCAGCCGCAGCTCGAGGGGGCTGCGGGTGCTGAAGCGGCCCTTGCACTGGAAGGGCAGGCTGAGGCTCTCGTTGGTGCGGTGGTTCATGCAGATCAGGCAGGGCATCTTGCCCTTCACTTGCCTGGCCCCCACCGCCGGCGCCGCCTTGCCCAGCTTCCGCAGGATGGTGTTGAAGCGCGACTTCTCCTTCACCGTCTTGGCGCAGAGGATCTCCGCTTGGCCCATCAGCGTCAGCTCGTCCCCCGCGTGCAGCGTGAAGTTGTACACCTCGCTGTCCTCGCTGAACTCCCCCGACACCACCTGTCCCGGGACAGCCCCACCATGGGACCCGCTGCCCTGGCACTGTCCCCTGGCGTCCCACCACCATCCCGTAATGTGCCACCACCACACCCTGATGCCCCACCACCATCCCCCGATTCCCACCACCAACCCCTGATGTCCCACCACCATCCCCTGCTGCCTCACCACCGCTCCCTGACATTCACCTGCTATCCCACCACCGTCCCCTGCTGCCCCCTCTGTCCCCATACCCACCTTCACGCTGAAGGTGATGGCCTCCATGACGAAGACGCGGTCCGGGAAGATGCTGGCCACCTCCTCCACGCTGTTGAAGTACTGCACGGGCTCGCGGATGTCCCGGTCCTGGTCCAGCAGCTTGAACTTCCCTGCGTGGGACAGCCAGACCCGCGGCGGTGAGAGGAGCCCATCTCCAGGGCCTGGCCGCAGGCACCTCCTGTGACCCACCTCGGGGCCAGCACGGCCATTCGTGGGGGGGGCAGCCACCCTCCAGGCTAGCCTGGGGTCCCCATCACAGATTGGGGGGGGGCACCTCTGTGGGTAGAGGGGTTCACCCAGTGTGTCCAAGTGCTGCAAGGGAACACCAGAGCATCCCCCCCGTACCTGTACTCCGCACACGCAGCATCAAGGTGGGCTTTTGGTGGGACAAAGCACCTGGCACACGGGGTGTCTCGGCAGTGCCGCTCTGGCACCCCCGGAGCTGCGGGAACACCCCAAAGCAGCTGCAGAAATGCCCCGTGGACGGAGGAACCCACCTGGAGCAGGGCCAGCGAAGCAGCCAAAATTGCAGGGTGCCCCATTGCCCCCCAAAACCCGGCCCCAGCCCCACTAGGGCCCCGTGACACACACAC